CATCGAGGACCTATCCACATCATCATTTACCCAGAATGCTTTGCATGTAAATAAAATGGCTCCGTCCGTGTTAAAATATATTTTTAAAAATTTACAAAAATAAACAGCCTACAGTATTTTTACAGTCTTTATTTTACAGTTAAAATAAATGTTTATCAAATAAAGTCTAATGTTACAACTAATCAGGGATCCCTTTAATAATGAGGTTCCTAAATTACTTCAGTGTATAATAAAAATTTAACACCTCAAGAGTGTTTTATCAAAATACACCGATAAAGAATATGAATCATGTAGTTGTTAATTGCTTTTGAAGATGAATTATGTTTATTCAGTCCATGAGCTTCAGTGTGCACTGGGGTGATTCTCAGCTAAGCGTCTAGTGGCTACAGCTCCTCTTGTGGGGACAAAGAAGCTGAGCTGAAAGGCAAAGCTTTYAGATTTGCAGGCCCATCTTCATTCTAACCATCGCCTACAGTCATGAGGTACAGATCCTGACCGAAAGAACAAGATCCCAGATACAAGCGCCTGACATTAGCTTCCTCTGTAGGCTGGCCAGGTAAGCCTTAAAGTTAGGGTGAGATGTTCTGTCATCTGGGGGGCTCGGTGTAGAAACACTCATGTAAAGGAGTCAGCCGAGGTGGTTCAGGCACCAAATAAGGATGAGTTCTGGGAGCTCCTCTGTCCCACTGGGAGGAGACTCTGAGGAAGACCCAGAGCTTGCTGGAAGGATTATGTCTCTTCCCTGCCTATAGAGTGTTGCTTGAGAAAGGGGCGTCTGGATTTCCCTCCTGGACAGATTGYCACCCCAACCCAATGACAGCTGGGCAGCAGAATGTGAAGGAATGAATGGATGGTTGGTGAATGGAAAAGAGACAAAAAAAAAAAAGAACTATGATGTTTTTTAGTTTTGTCTCTGCATTCTTTGCTGGTGATAAAGTTGAATTTCAGCTCCATTTTTCTACATATTTTTGTTTGTGCTCTAAAAAATCAATCATTTTCATCCAGTTTCTATAAAGAAGTATCAGACAACCTATTAATGCCAGGTTTGTGTTGATTCTTACAAAAGAAAAGCTAAAATAGGGTCTAAAAAGGAATTTCATTTCAAAATAAATGAGTTTAGCTTTAGGTTAAACTTTGTTGTTCTTTTCAACTCTTGTTTTTCGAGCAATAAAATGCAAACTATTTTGTTTGCTTAGAATCTCTTTAATATTTCGTCTCTATGTGCCCCGTCTGTCTTTTTTCTTTTACAGTCATTTCCTGTTTTATCTTTCCCGTCTACAAAATTATTGATGTTTTTGTCTGTGATATCGCTCTGTTCATCCACTAGTTTAGACATGTAGTTTCTTTGGAGGAAACCAGAAGTGGTCCTGCTGAGCCATCTTATAAAGATCCACCAACTCTCTGAGGTTGTTGTTTAGTTCAAATCCATCAAAAGCTGCAAATTGCTGCAGCCAAAATCTCAGAATTTGCTGTGGAGAAAATAACAAGAATAAACATAGAACTACATACAAAACCTCTTTTTTACAGCTAATTTTAAGAAATAACAGCTAATGTGTTTAAAACATAATTAGATGCCACAAAGTTTTCAAATAAAAAAATATAATATGTATTTATTTATTTTTGTTTGTATGTGTTTTTGCTTAACCATAATCTTTGGCTACAATAAGAATAAGTACGGCCGAAATGGTAATGGTTATTACCTAAACATATTTCTTCAAAAATATCTAAAAGCCCATAACTGA